GCTCGACAATCTCCTTTGTAAAGTTTTGGTGATTTCTCAGTAAGCTGATATGTGCTGCTTGTGTTTAGGACTAAGTGGAAAAGAAAGGTTTATTCTTTTGATGCACGAGGCATATTTGAGCAGTATGGATCGGAGGACTGGGGGCAGTATCTTATTCATGAAGCTCATCTTTCGCAGAGATTTTCTTTCGACGAAAATGGATACTATCATTGTTGTGCTTCAATTCCTTTTCCTGGAAATGTGCAAGTGGAATGATTGATGTTTTGTTCATTATTACCGCACTATCTTTTATGTGGAATAAGGATTTAAGTGGTAGTTTCATGAAATATATTAAACTTTCTACCAGTTAAAGAAAATGCCCGCGGCTTAGATAAATTTTCAGTGTTAGTGTTTTGTTATTAGATGAAAGAGAAGTGAAGATTAGTATTTTTTTTATGACGTACTTTTCTGCCGTGACTTTGCTCAGTCGGGACCGCTCGGTTGTCTAGTTAGGTATGTGTTTAAAGAGCTTTTACTCATAATTGAATATTCAGTGAATTGTTATCACTATTGAATATTTGGATGTAGTGGAGAGTGGATAGAACGTATATGACTTTTGGTCCTGATCTTATATTTATAAGTCATCTAATGGATCTTAAACTAACACAGATCCAATAGAATAAAAACAAACATACTTTTATGTTGGGTATAAACAGTTTATCTATCTTTAATCAAATATCTTTAATTATTTTATTGTCTCCTGGACTATTAGTCCAATAGTAACTTGAACGTTGGCTCAATTAGGGTCTAACATTGTTGAAGTAGCAGATGGACCAAACAGTCCTGAGTGAATAGACCAAACGGTTGATACTGTATACCATACAATTAGTATTTTTTTTTATGGACATGATCGTCGGTATCAAAATAATCTTTTAGATTAATCATGTATGTTTGGTTAGAAAGTAAGTAAAGTGGGTTTAGTAATTGTTTTTTTGTCAAATGACTTTTTGTATTTATCGAAATGATTGTATCTTGGATTACGAAATTTATATCCTATATAAAGTGAGCTTAAATCTTTCGTCCCTAACGTTCATCCCCTCCTTATAAATTACCTTGATTTATTTTGGAATAATCCAATACAAAAAAAAGTAGAATTTAGCCCAAAAATATTAAGTAAACTTAAATTATATATACCTCAAAAAAATATTATTATATGAAAAGTTGGCAGATAAAGATTCCTTTGGCAGAATTACTGTCTTAATAGTAACAAAATACCCGTTAAGAAGTAATTAAATTAAAAATATTAAGCACTTATTTCACTAAATAAACATTCATTTTTTTTTTCTTGGATAAAAATAAGAAAAATTAAAACAGGGGAAAGTGGGTCTGCCAGCTATAAATAACTGTAAAGTAGCTTAGAGAAGTTCTTTGATTAGCAATTGTGGCTTATATGAATGAATCATTCTGGAAAATTGATCAGTATAGGAAGAAGGGTTCCTATCTAATTGTTTTTTTGGTGCTTAGAAATGAACAACTTTAAGCTGTGTTTAAAACATGTAACGAAAGCTCCATGACTAACTACCACACATTTCATGTTCCAGTTTGGCATATGTAGGAAAGGACAAAATCATCATGCTGGATGGATAACGGGGTCGATATTCAAAAGCATTTTTTTTTTTTCATTTTCATCTTTTCAAATCTCTTCATACATTCATTTTTTTTTTTAAATTTCAGCATCACATTGTATATTTTCTCCATAAATGCATGTGAAACAATTTTAGTGCACGAAGTATCTAATTCTGAGCCTAGGCTAAAGGAGATATCTTGTTCTCTCTTTTTTTTAATATTGTTTCATTTTATTTTCAAAATAAATTGAGAGTAATGTCTTATTCCATGTTTTATGTCTAATTAAAATGATGCACTTCTAAAGTGTCCATTTTAGTCAATGATGTTTTAGGGAAAAAATGGTGTGAATAGTTGAAAAAAGTGAAAAAAGAAAGTGATGATGGACACTTTCCACCCAACTTTACTTTTGAGGGCTTTTCATTTAAGTTTAACTTCCCACATTCACAGTGTAAAGATTTCATATTGTAAATTTTTTGGTGATTTTAACTTTTAAATGTTATTATCATAAAAATTAACAACTTATTTTATAAAATAAATTGCAATTGGATAACCACACAATATTTTCATTGATAATGCACATAATTTTTATATTGTACCTAACAAGTGTAAAAGAAAAAAAATTGCTAGTTTATTCAATTAAATTGGAGAACAGAGAAACTAGTAAAATGAGAAGCAACTTGAATCTAGATTAATGATGACATGATCCTAATTAACCAAACTAGCTATTTACAAAAAGTGGTTTCAGCGAGAAAAAAAGAGAGGGGCCAAAAAGTGCTAAAGACTATACTTGATTTAGTTCCAATTCGCCGACCACATTTTTCATGATCATGGAGCATTATGTGACATTAAGACCCAAAAAATTCCTTATATTGAGGCATTCTAAAAAGCATAATGATATATTCATAGCATTTTTTTAACAACTTTTTAACATTGTAAAAAAAAAAGTCATTGGTGTAATTAACATGATTTTTTAAATGAATGAAGTGATGTGAAAAACTCATTTTGAGATATTTGGTTTCGTGGGTTCGTATTAAGAATTTAAAATTCTTCTTCGTTTTGAGACCTTATTAACAAAAGAACATTATTCGTCAAATCACCATTTCACCCTTGTTCATGTTGAAGTTCTGTCGTTCATTGACATTACATTTTTGTCTTTGTTTTCTGCTTTAGGTTTTCGGTCTCTTTTTTACAACATTGAAAATTTTATGTTTTTTTGCTTTGTTTTGCATTTTTAGAATTATTTTTTTTCATGAAAATTAGGTTTTTCCTATTTCTTAGTTTTGCATTCTTGTTTGGGTTTGTTTTGTTCTTTTATGGTTGTGCATTGTAGGATTTATTGTTTAGTGTCCTCTTTCGTTGATTTGACTCTGTTTCGTTTTTGTTTGTTTGGACGTTATGATTTTCTATTTTTACAATAATGGAAGCCATTTCAGAATAAACGGAAAGCAAAGTAAGTAAATATATATAAGTGAAATTGTTTTTTATGTTGAATCTCGTTTTCTAATGGTTGATTGTTTTGTCTTTTGTTCCATATACTTGTTTATAAATTTTAAAAAGAAAATATTTATTCTGAAGTTAATGCACCTCTAAGGTTATCAATAATAACAATTATGATCACATAATAAATCGAAAGAGAACATCCAAAATGAGTAAAAAAACCTGCAGAATTGGGTAGGGAATATAGTTCAACTAAAATTTTGGACAAGAAGGTTCACCCCCTTCTCACACATATTGAATTGAAAAAATATTCATTCTCATATTAATCAACCTCTAAGATTATCAAGATCCTCTTCTTCGACATGTTTAATAGAAAAAATATTCATTCTCATGTTAATGCACCTCTAAGATTATCAATGGTGAAATTATGATCACATAATAAACCAAATATGTCAATAGAAAATATAAAATAAGAAAAAAACTATCCTGTAGAATTAGGTAAGAAACGCAGTTCAAATAAGTGGGGATGTACATGTAAATTTTTTCACATGAAGGTTTAAACACTTGTTCATCAATTTTCAATAGAAACAAAAATTCTTTTTCAAGTTAATGCACCCATAAGGTCATAAAATGGTGGAACTATGACCACTTAATAAACAAAATTTGTCAACAAAAAATCTAAAGTAAGAAAAAAAAACCTACAGAAGGGAAACACAATTCAAATAAGTGAAAACCCATGTTTAAAATTTTTAACAAGAAGGTCCACCTTCTTTTTCACAAATGTTAAATACAAAAAAATAATCATTCTCGTGCTAATCCACACCTAACATCATCAATGGTAGGAATTAAGACAACATAATAAACCAAATCTCTCAACATAATATAAAAAATGAGTAAAAAAATTCTTCAAAATTAGGTTGGGAACACACTTCGAATAAGTGAGGACCAAATTATTTTTTTCCTCATTTTAAATTTTTTGTTGACAAATTTGGTTTACTATCCTCCTTAACCAATTCTATAGTTTTTTTTTACTCATTTCGAATGTTTTGATGATAGATTTTGTTTGTTATGTGGTTTTTTAAATTCTACAATTAATGACCTTAGACTGCATTAACATATAAATTAATAATTTTTTCAAAAAACATGTGAAAAAGTTTGTGGACCTTTTTATAAAAAGGTTTACACGTAGGTTCTCACTTAATCAAACTATGCTCTCCACCTAATTCTACAGGCTTTTTTTTTTCATCATTTTGAATGTTCAATTGATAAATTTAATTTATTATTTCGTCATAATTTCCACCATTGATTACTTTAGGAGTTAGGAGTATGAGAATGAATACTTTTTCTATTAAACATTTATGAAGAAAAAAGTGAAATTTCGTGTCCAAAATTTGTTCCATTGCCAAACTTGGTTTATTAGGTTGTTATAGTTGGACACCATTCATGACCTTATATAGATGCATGAACACCAAAATGGATATTTTTTATATTAAAAAATTGTGAACAAGTGCCCGGACTTTTGTGTGCAAAAACAAAAACAATCAACTATTAGAAAACAAGATTAAAAAAACCACACTTACCTTATGTTTAGCTTGTTCACGAACTTTATTATTGTAAATTGTTGTAAAAATAGAGACGAAGGCTTTTTGCCACGAAAACATAAAATTCACCCAGACGTCACACGTCAGTTGCTGACTCACCCACGCCATGTCGAAACTTATTCCTACGCTCCCAGCGCACATTAGCACGTGCCATTACGCCGTGTTTGGATATTGGAAACAATTCGACAAAATAAAACTCCGTTACCTCAAGTCGAATCTTTCTTAATAGAAAAACTTTAAACAAAATAAAGAAAGAAAAAAGAAAAATTGAACTCACCAAACAGGCCTTGCCCTCAGCCCACATTTGAGCACACATCCTTATCCATTCGTTGGGATAATAGCTTGCAGCAGGTCTCTCACCAGGTTCGTCTAACAAACAATTTTTCTCACAAAATCAGGAACTGCGAATTTGGTATCTCGATATTAATGTTATGATCTGCAATTTTAAAACTATTGTGTTTGAGCACACACTTGGAGTTATCTTCTGATTTTTTTTTATGACGGGTGGTAGGCAGAAGAAAATATATCTTGAAGACCTTAGCATGGAACAGAAAAATGTGAATTCTATATGGAGACCAGTTGCCACTAAGGCCAGTGCTTGTGAAGGTTTGTCTTTTTTTGTCCTGGGACATGCCGCTGTTCAACTTCCGGTTGTAGCAACTACCAACAATTCTGTGTTATGCCTATGATTTTTATTATTTCTTTTGCGAAATGCGACATTTTGGAACTAGTTGCTTTTTTCTTATATTTATATGCATACGGTCTAGTTCCTCAATCAAAATTAGCATTTTTGTATATTTCATGCTATTTACTTGACAATCACTCGATGCTATGGGGTAGTGTGATTTTTGAAAAACATGATACTTATTACTCCGTAGGATAAGAGTCTGGGTAGGCCGGTTATTCATATTATATGATCTGGTTTTTACGAAAGCTTGATAAAGGTGCAATTGTTGAGTCAGATCGAGGCACAGTTCAGGAAACGGGCGGCAGCACATCTACCACTGTTTCAAATGATCATGTCATGAAGGTAGCTACTGATGCAATAGCTAAATCAGCTACTAGTTCAAGCCAATTGCAGGATAATGTTGAAAACAGAGTGCTTCGAGGAGATTCTTCTGTCTCCTCTGAAAAGCATTCAATTTCTGTGCAGGCAAGATTATAATTTTTCACATCCTTTTACTTTACTTGAATTGATAGTTCATATTTACGAAGATACAAACCAATATTTGTTCTTTGCGTCTGTTACATGCTGACCATACATCTTTAGTTAGTTCTTGCTCGTTATGTTTAGGTTTCATGCAGTATTGGCTGCTTCATGTACGTTAGAGGTTACTCTAGTGCTAGAATTAGTCAATTTGTTATGAATTCAACAAAATAAGGAAGGAATTCATAAGAAGACTTTCATTAAAGCTTATGTTACTGATATGTTCTCTCCTAGATTTTATTTGAATCTTTCCATAGTTTTAATTGTTTGCTATTTGTTGCTTTTTCAGAATATTTCATTCGAACTATCTTTCTTGGTCCTTGGTTTTGGTCTCTTTTCTGATTATGTTGGACAGTCAAATGCTTTAGTCTTTCATCTCTGTTTTAATTTTGTGTTTGTTCTGCAGGTTGGTGCTTCTCTATTTCGTTTTATTAAAGGACCATGGTAAAACCTACATTTTAATTTCTCTTTGGCATAATGGCATTAATAATAACATTTCTTAACCAACTTGAAGTAGATAAATATCAGATAAGGAGAGGCTCAATATGACATTGATAGAAACTGTCTGGGATGGAATATGAAAAATGTAAACTTTAATTGCAATAACAGGCTCCTCCAATGTGAAGTAGAAAGAATTACAAGTCAAGAACGTAAAAGCTTCTCAGATTATGGAATAGTCCTACCCTCTCAAGATTGTGTAAATCTTGCGTCTCTATTTTATAAAATTGCTCAATACCCCTCTCTGATTCCCTCTACCTTTATTTATATACAGAATATAACCCCTTTGACCCTCCTTTTCTCCCTATTATAATGATTTCTAATTATAGGTATAAAAAACATAGGTGAAAGTGCTAAAGAAAAATATTTTTATGATTTTGAAGGGACAGAGGAAAATATGCTTCGATAAAATAGGCTGAAAAGAATAGTTATATTCATGTNTAATTAAATTAAAAATATTAAGCACTTATTTCACTAAATAAACATTCATTTTTTTTTTCTTGGATAAAAATAAGAAAAATTAAAACAGGGGAAAGTGGGTCTGCCAGCTATAAATAACTGTAAAGTAGCTTAGAGAAGTTCTTTGATTAGCAATTGTGGCTTATATGAATGAATCATTCTGGAAAATTGATCAGTATAGGAAGAAGGGTTCCTATCTAATTGTTTTTTTGGTGCTTAGAAATGAACAACTTTAAGCTGTGTTTAAAACATGTAACGAAAGCTCCATGACTAACTACCACACATTTCATGTTCCAGTTTGGCATATGTAGGAAAGGACAAAATCATCATGCTGGATGGATAACGGGGTCGATATTCAAAAGCATTTTTTTTTTTTCATTTTCATCTTTTCAAATCTCTTCATACATTCATTTTTTTTTTTAAATTTCAGCATCACATTGTATATTTTCTCCATAAATGCATGTGAAACAATTTTAGTGCACGAAGTATCTAATTCTGAGCCTAGTCTAAAGGAGATGATCTTTGTTTCATTTTATTTTCAAAATAAATTGAGAGTAATGTCTTATTCCATGTTTTATGTCTAATTAAAATGATGGACTTCTAAAGTGTCCATTTTAGTCAATGATGTTTTAGGGAAAAAATGATGTGAATAGTTGAAAAAAGTGAAAAAAGAAAGTGATGATGGACACTTTCCACCCAACTTTACTTTTGAGGGCTTTTCATTTAAGTTTAACTTCCCACATTCACAGTGTAAAGATTTCATATTGTAAATTTTTTGGTGATTTTAACTTTTAAATGTTATTATCATAAAAATTAACAACTTATTTTATAAAATAAATTGCAATTGGATAACCACACAATATTTTCATTGATAATACACAGAATTTGCATATTGTAACTAACAAGAAGTGTAAAAGAAAGAAAATGCTACTTTAATCAATTAAATTAGAGGACAGAAAAACTAGTAAAATGAGACAAACAATTTGAATCTAGATTAATTATGACATGATCCTAATTAACCAAACTAGCTATTTACAAAAAGTGGTTTCAGCGAGAAAAAAAGAGAGGGGCCAAAAAGTGCTAAAGACTATACTTGATTTAGTTCCAATTCGCCGACCACATTTTTCATGATCATGGAGCATTATGTGACATTAAGACCCAAAAAATTCCTTATATTGAGGCATTCTAAAAAGCATAATGATATATTCATAGCATTTTTTTAACAACTTTTTAACATTGTAAAAAAAAAAGTCATTGGTGTAATTAACATGATTTTTTAAATGAATGAAGTGATGTGAAAAACTCATTTTGAGATATTTGGTTTCGTGGGTTCGTATTAAGAATTTAAAATTCTTCTTCGTTTTGAGACCTTATTAACAAAAGAACATTATTCGTCAAATCACCATTTCACCCTTGTTCATGTTGAAGTTCTGTCGTTCATTGACATTACATTTTTGTCTTTGTTTTCTGCTTTAGGTTTTCGGTCTCTTTTTTACAACATTGAAAATTTTATGTTTTTTTGCTTTGTTTTGCATTTTTAGAATTATTTTTTTTCATGAAAATTAGGTTTTTCCTATTTCTTAGTTTTGCATTCTTGTTTGGGTTTGTTTTGTTCTTTTATGGTTGTGCATTGTAGGATTTATTGTTTAGTGTCCTCTTTCGTTGATTTGACTCTGTTTCGTTTTTGTTTGTTTGGACGTTATGATTTTCTATTTTTACAATAATGGAAGCCATTTCAGAATAAACGGAAAGCAAAGTAAGTAAATATATATAAGTGAAATTGTTTTTTATGTTGAATCTCGTTTTCTAATGGTTGATTGTTTTGTCTTTTGTTCCATATACTTGTTTATAAATTTTAAAAAGAAAATATTTATTCTGAAGTTAATGCACCTCTAAGGTTATCAATAATAACAATTATGATCACATAATAAATCGAAAGAGAACATCCAAAATGAGTAAAAAAACCTGCAGAATTGGGTAGGGAATATAGTTCAACTAAAATTTTGGACAAGAAGGTTCACCCCCTTCTCACACATATTGAATTGAAAAAATATTCATTCTCATATTAATCAACCTCTAAGATTATCAAGATCCTCTTCTTCGACATGTTTAATAGAAAAAATATTCATTCTCATGTTAATGCACCTCTAAGATTATCAAATGGTGAAATTATGATCACATAATAAACCAAATATGTCAATAGAAAATATAAAATAAGAAAAAAACTATCCTGTAGAATTAGGTAAGAAACGCAGTTCAAATAAGTGGGGATGTACATGTAAATTTTTTCACATGAAGGTTTAAACAATTGTTCATCAATTTTCAATAGAAACAAAAATTCTTTTTCAAGTTAATGCACCCATAAGGTCATAAAATGGTGGAACTATGACCACTTAATAAACAAAATTTGTCAACAAAAAATCTAAAGTAAGAAAAAAAAACCTACAGAAGGGAAACACAATTCAAATAAGTGAAAACCCATGTTTAAAATTTTTAACAAGAAGGTCCACCTTCTTTTTCACAAATGTTAAATACAAAAAAATAATCATTCTCGTGCTAATCCACACCTAACATCATCAATGGTAGGAATTAAGACAACATAATAAACCAAATCTCTCAACATAATATAAAAAATGAGTAAAAAAATTCTTCAAAATTAGGTTGGGAACACACTTCGAATAAGTGAGGACCAAATTATTTTTTTCCTCATTTTAAATTTTTTGTTGACAAATTTGGTTTACTATCCTCCTTAACCAATTCTATAGTTTTTTTTTACTCATTTCGAATGTTTTGATGATAGATTTTGTTTGTTATGTGGTTTTTTAAATTCTACAATTAATGACCTTAGACTGCATTAACATATAAATTAATAATTTTTTCAAAAAACATGTGAAAAAGTTTGTGGACCTTTTTATAAAAAGGTTTACACGTAGGTTCTCACTTAATCAAACTATGCTCTCCACCTAATTCTACAGGCTTTTTTTTTTCATCATTTTGAATGTTCAATTGATAAATTTAATTTATTATTTCGTCATAATTTCCACCATTGATTACTTTAGGAGTTAGGAGTATGAGAATGAATACTTTTTCTATTAAACATTTATGAAGAAAAAAGTGAAATTTCGTGTCCAAAATTTGTTCCATTGCCAAACTTGGTTTATTAGGTTGTTATAGTTGGACACCATTCATGACCTTATATAGATGCATGAACACCAAAATGGATATTTTTTATATTAAAAAATTGTGAACAAGTGCCCGGACTTTTGTGTGCAAAAACAAAAACAATCAACTATTAGAAAACAAGATTAAAAAAACCACACTTACCTTATGTTTAGCTTGTTCACGAACTTTATTATTGTAAATTGTTGTAAAAATAGAGACGAAGGCTTTTTGCCACGAAAACATAAAATTCACCCAGACGTCACACGTCAGTTGCTGACTCACCCACGCCATGTCGAAACTTATTCCTACGCTCCCAGCGCACATTAGAACGTGCCAATACGCCGTGTTTGGATATTGGAAACAATTCGACAAAATAAAACTCCGTTACCTCAAGTCGAATCTTTCTTAATAGAAAAACTTTAAACAAAATAAAGAAAGAAAAAAGAAAAATTGAACTCACCAAACAGGCCTTGCCCTCAGCCCACATTTGAGCACACATCCTTATCCATTCGTTGGGATAATAGCTTGCAGCAGGTCTCTCACCAGGTTCGTCTAACAAACAATTTTTCTCACAAAATCAGGAACTGCGAATTTGGTATCTCGATATTAATGTTATGATCTGCAATTTTAAAACTATTGTGTTTGAGCACACACTTGGAGTTATCTTCTGATTTTTTTTTATGACGGGTGGTAGGCAGAAGAAAATATATCTTGAAGACCTTAGCATGGAACAGAAAAATGTGAATTCTATATGGAGACCAGTTGCCACTAAGGCCAGTGCTTGTGAAGGTTTGTCTTTTTTTGTCCTGGGACATGCCGCTGTTCAACTTCCGGTTGTAGCAACTACCAACAATTATGTGTTATGCCTATGATTTTTATTATTTCTTTTGCGAAATGCGACATTTTGGAACTAGTTGCTTTTTTCTTATATTTATATGCATACGGTCTAGTTCCTCAATCAAAATTAGCATTTTTGTATATTTCATGCTATTTACTTGACAATCACTCGATGCTATGGGGTAGTGTGATTTTTGAAAAACATGATACTTATTACTCCGTAGGATAAGAGTCTGGGTAGGCCGGTTATTCATATTATATGATCTGGTTTTTACGAAAGCTTGATAAAGGTGCAATTGTTGAGTCAGATCGAGGCACAGTTCAGGAAACGGGCGGCAGCACATCTACCACTGTTTCAAATGATCATGTCATGAAGGTAGCTACTGATGCAATAGCTAAATCAGCTACTAGTTCAAGCCAATTGCAGGATAATGTTGAAAACAGAGTGCTTCGAGGAGATTCTTCTGTCTCCTCTGAAAAGCATTCAATTTCTGTGCAGGCAAGATTATAATTTTTCACATCCTTTTACTTTACTTGAATTGATAGTTCATATTTACGAAGATACAAACCAATATTTGTTCTTTGCGTCTGTTACATGCTGACCATACATCTTTAGTTAGTTCTTGCTCGTTATGTTTAGGTTTCATGCAGTATTGGCTGCTTCATGTACGTTAGAGGTTACTCTAGTGCTAGAATTAGTCAATTTGTTATGAATTCAACAAAATAAGGAAGGAATTCATAAGAAGACTTTCATTAAAGCTTATGTTACTGATATGTTCTCTCCTAGATTTTATTTGAATCTTTCCANTCATATTATATGATCTGGTTTTTACGAAAGCTTGATAAAGGTGCAATTGTTGAGTCAGATCGAGGCACAGTTCAGGAAACGGGCGGCAGCACATCTACCACTGTTTCAAATGATCATGTCATGAAGGTAGCTACTGATGCAATAGCTAAATCAGCTA